CCGAGTCCAAACAGGGGAGGAGGAGGAAGGGTGAGGGAGGGAAGGGTGAGGGGAGGAAGGGAGGAGAGGGAGGAGAGAGGAGAGAAGGAGGGTGAGGGAGGAAGGTAAAGGAGGGAAGGAGGAGAGGAGGAAGGGTAAGGGAGGAGGGAGGAGGAGAAGGAGAAGGAAGAAGGGAGGAGGGTGAGGGAGGGAAGAGTGAGAGGGAGGAAGGGTAAGGGTGGGAAGGAGAGGGGAGGAAGGGGTAAGGGTGGAAGGAGGTGAGGGAGAAGGTAAGGGAGGGAAGGAGGGTGAGGAGGAAGGGTAGGAGGGAGGAGGGAAGTGATATAACGATTTTTTTATTAGTGATAATTATTTTTTAACTTCCTCCACCTGTCACTGACCTCTCATGTGTGTGTGTGTGTGTGTGTGTGTGTGTGCTTCTTTGTCTTTGTCTGTTTCTGTCTGTCTGTCTGTCTTGCTATCTGTCTGTCTGTCTGTCTGTATAACTATCTGTTTGTCTGTCTGTCTTGCTATCTATCTGTCTGTCTGTCTGTCTAACTATTTGTCTCGTATCTTCCTGTCTTTGTCCGTCTTTCTGTCTGTCTGTCTCGCTATCTGTCTGTCTGTTTGTTTGTTTGTCTCGCTATATCTCCGTCTGTCTGTCTCTCTGTCTGCCTGTCTGTCTTCTGCATCTCTCCGTCTGTCTGTCTGTCTGTCTGTCTGTCTTATATCGTTAGGCTCATTTCCCGTCACTTCACTCTGTCAATACGTAATTATTCAGCACCTCCTCACCTCCCCCTCCTCCCTCCCTTCCTTCCTTCCTCCTCCTCCTCATCTTCCATCGGTCTCTCTTCCTTCCTCTTTCCTTTCGCCCCCTCCTTCCCTCCTAACCCACCACCCCTTCCTCCCAACCCACCACCTCTCCCTCCCAAACCCACCACCCCTTCCTCCCAACCACCACCTTCCCTTCCTCCCAACCCACCACTCCTTCCCTCCCAACCCACCACCCTTCTCTCCAACCCACCACCCCTTTCCTCCCAACCCACCCCTTTCCTCCCAACCCACCACCCCTTCCTCCTCCCAACCCACCACCCCTCCCTCCCAACCCACCACCTCTTCTCCAACCACCCCACCCCCTTCCCTCCCAACCCACCACCCCTTCCCTCCAACCACCACCCCTCTTCCTCCCAACCCACCCCCTTCTTCCAACCCACCACCTTCCATTCCAACCCACCACCTCTACCTCCCCCTCCTTTCCCTTCTCTCCCTCCCCCTTCCCAACTCTTTCCCCCCTTCCTTTCCCTCCCCCACCCCTGCCACACGGGTCCTCACCACCGGAAAGGTTACATAGAAATCTTACGCCTCACTTCCGCCCTTATGAACCCCACTGCCCAGGGGGGAGGGAGGTAGTGAGGGGGAGAGTGAGGAGAGGGGAGGGAGAGGGAGAGATTGGAGAGAGAAGGAGGGTGAGGAATGGGAGGGAAGGTGATGGATGGGAGAGAGAAAGATGGGGGTGGTTTGAAGAGGAGGAGGAAAGAAGGGTGAGGAGAGGGAGGGAGGGAAGGAGGGAGGGAGGGAGGGAGGTTAGTAGGCTGGATAGGAGACTGGGAGAAATGATGGAATGGGAGGGGAAGGAAAGGAGAGGGTAGTGGGGAAGGAAGGAAGGATAATGATGATTGGTACTGATGGGGTGCTGAGAAGGAAGAATAGAAGGGAAAAGATACGGAGAAGGAAGGAGGAGGAATAGGAGGAAAAAATATAGAAGGAAGGAAAGGGGGAGATGGAGGGATAAAATGAAATACTAAGAGGAAAAGAAATGAGCAGGGGGAGTGAACGTGTTGCTGTAGGCCAGACTGTTGACACGTGTTCCTGTGGTCTGAACTGTGTTGGACACGTGTTCCTGTGGTCTGAACTGTGTTGACACGTGTTGCTGTGGTCTGAACTGTGTTGACACGTGTTCCTGTGGTCTGAACTGTGTTGACACGTGTTCCTGTGGTCTGAACTGTGTTGACACGTGTTCCTGTGGTCCTGAACTGTTGCACGTATTCCTGGTTTGAGGCTGTTGGACACGTGTTCCTGTGGTCTGAACTGTGTTGACACGTGTTGCTGTGGTCTGAACTGTGTTGACACGTGTTGCTGTGGTCTGAACTGTGTTGACACGTGTTCCTGTGGTCTGAACTGTGTTGACGTGTTCCTGTGGTCTGAACTGTGTTGACACGTGTTCCTGTGGTCTGAACTGTGTTGACACGTGTTGCTGTGGTCTGAACTGTGTTGACACGTGTTCCTGTGGTCTGAACTGTGTTGACACGTGTTCCTGTGGTCTGAACTGTGTTGACGTGTTCCTGTGGTCTGAACTGTGTTGACATGTTTCCTGTGGTCTGAACTGTGTTGACACGTGTTCCTGTGGTCTGAACTGTGTTGACACGTGTTCCTGTGGTCTGAACTGTGTTGACGTGTTCCTGTGGTCTGAACTGTGTTGACACGTGTTCCTGTGGTCTGAACTGTGTTGACGTGTTGCTGTGGTCTGAACTGTGTTGACACGTGTTCCTGTGGTCTGAACTGTGTTGACACGTGTTGCTGTGGTCTGAACTGTGTTGACACGTGTTGCTGGTCTGAACTGTGTTGACACGTGTTCCTGTGGTCTGAACTGTGTTGACACGTGTTCCTGTGGTCTGAACTGTGTTGACACGTGTTCCTGTGGTCTAACTGTGTATGTGTTCCTGTGGTCTGAACTGTGTTGACACGTGTTCCTGTGTTCTGAACTGTGTTGACATGTTGCTGTGGTCTGAACTGTGTTGACACGTGTTCCTGTGGTCTGAACTGTGTTGACATGTGTTGCTGAACTGTGTTGCGTGTTCCTGTGGTCTGAACTGTGTTGACACGTGTTGCTGTGGTCTGAACTGTGTTGACATGTGTTGCTGTGGTCTGAACTGTGTTGACACGTGTTCCTGTGGTCTGAACTGTGTTGACACGTGTTCCTGTGGTCTGAACTGTGTTGACACGTGTTCCTGTGGTCTGAACTGTGTTGACATGTGTTGCTGTGGTCTGAACTGTGTCTGAAATTCCCCCCTCCCCTCTTAGCCCTGCAGGTCAACACACAATAAGGTACTGTTGGCCACGTCTTGCCCCTACATTAAATCTTCCTTAAGGCGAAGTACAAACGCAGAGAGAGAGAGAGAGTTCCTGAGTGTTGGTGTTTACGTCAGCTGTTTGTTTATTTACTTTGTTTGTATATTTACTTATTTGTTGATTTATTGTTTTTGTTTAAGTATTTGTTTTGTTTACTTGTTACTTGTTTTGTTTATTTACTTTTTGTTGAATGGAGACCTTGAGTTATGTTGTTTACGTCAGCTGTGTTTATTTGTTTATTTACGTAGTGTTTACATTCATTTCAGGAGATAACTTTACCCTAATCAACTAAATTTGTTTATATATTTACTTGTTTATCGTTGTTTATTAATATTGTTTAAGGACAAATACCCCCCCCACCCCCAATCATCTGTTTTTGTCCATTTGTTTATTTTAAGATTTTATTTGTTTGTTTGTCGTTGTATGTATAGCTGTATGGGAGGTGAAAATTATCCATGAATTAATTTATCTATGTATCATTATATTCATGGAGGTTTCTGTTGTATGTATGTTATGTATATTGGTACAGGGAGGGGGGGAATGAGGGGGGAGGGGAGGAATGAGGGGAGGGTGGGGGAATGAGGGGAATGAGGGGAGGAGGGAGGTGAGGATTGGTGAGGTGGTGGAAGGAATGATATAGAGGTGGAGGGAATGAATGAGTAGGTAGAAGGAATGAGGAAGGTGGTGGAGGGAATGAGGGAGAAAGTAGAAGGAATGAGGGTGGAGGAGGTAGAGAGAATGAAGAAGAAGGCTAAACGATGGAGGTAAAAGAGGTAGAAAGAATGGGTGAGGAGGTAGAAGGAATGAGGAAGGAGGTGGTTGAAGGAATGAATGCGGAGGTGGAGAGAGTGAAGGAGGAGGTAGAAGGAATGAGGAAGGAGGTGGTTGAAGGAATGAAGGAGGGTTATAGAAGTGATAATTATAGAGTATATATTCTGGTATAATTCAGATGACAGACAAACACAGACATTATAGATCAGGGGAGAGAAGGATGGTTGAGAGGGAGGACATGGTATATATTGTATAGGACTCAATGGTAGGACTCAACACTCACGTCCAATACTCTACGAAGGATATCACGGTATAGGACTCAATGGTAGGACTCAACACTCACATCTAGTACTCTACGAAGGATATCACGGTATAGGACTCAATGGTAGGACTGTCAACACTCGTCAATACTCTGAAGGATATCACGGTATAGGACTCAATGGTAGGACTCAACACCCACATCTAATACTCTACGAAGGATATCACGGTATAAGACTCAATGGTAGGACTCAACACTCATCTAATACTCTACGAAGGATATCAAGGTATAGGACTCAATGGTAGGACTCAACCTCGTCCAGTACTCTACGAAGGATATCACGGTATAAGACTCAATGGTAGGACTCAACACTCATCTAATACTCTACGAAGGATATCACGGTATAGGACTCAATGGTAGGACTCAGCACCCACATCTAGTACTCTACGAAGGATATCACGGTATAAGACTCAATGGTAGGACTCAACACTCACATCTAATACTCTACGAAGGATATCACGGTATAGGACTCAATGGTAGGACTCAGCACTCACGTCCAGTACTCACGAAGGATATCACGGTATAGGACTCAATGGTAGGACTCAACACTCATCTAATACTCCACGAAGGATATCACGGTACAGAACTTAGTAGGACTCAATGGTAGGACTCAGCACCCACATCTAGTACTCCACGAAGGATATCACGGTATATATGACTCAATGGTAGGACTCAACACTCGTCAGTACTCCACGAAGGATATCACGGTATAGGACTCAATGGTAGGACTCAACACTCACATCTAATACTCTACGAAGGATATCACGGTATAGGACTCAATGGTAGGACTGTCAACACTCACGTCCAGTACTCCTCCGCCGGTGAAGTAAACTTGATCTTCTCCCTGACGACTTGTGAATCTATCGAGGTGAAGTTATCGAGGGAGGGCAGGATGCTGGTGGTCTCCTCATAACTGGTGCTGTTGGTGTAGATTATCTCCTCTGGCCCATTCCTGCTGCCGATCTGTGGAGTAAAGTAGAAAGTTGCCCTATTAGATGATGCCCTAGTAGATGCCCTATGAGATGCCCTATGAGATAATGCCCTAATAGATGCCCTGATAGATGATGTCCTATGAGATAATAACCTTTAGATGCCCTGAGAGATAATGCCTTATGAGATGCCCTATGAGATGCCCTATAAGATACCCTGTGAGATGCCCTAAGATATGCCCTGAGGTGACCTATGATATACCCAATGAGGTACCCTATGAGATGCCTGAGATGACCCTAACACTATTTTGGGGATGAGATTAGGTTAGTTGGGTTAGGTTAGGTTGGGTTTGGTTGGGTTAGGTTGGGTTTGGATTGGGTTAGGTAGGTTAGGTTAGGTTAGGTTAGGTTAGGTTAGGTTAGGTTAGGTTAGGTTAGGTTAGGTTAGGTTAGGTTAGAAAGAAGGAGAGTAAAGAAGAATGAAGGTTGAAGAAGGAGGAGATAAAAAGATAGAAAAGAATGAGAGAAATGAAGTAGGAAGAGAAGGAGGGAAGTGAGGAAGGATGAATGTTGAAAGAAGGAAGAAAGTAAGAAGATGGAAAGAAAGAAAGAAAGAAGAGTAAAATGGTAACTATAGAAGACAGAAAATGAATAAAAAGTAAAAGAAAAAAAAAAATGTTCAGCTTTAAAAATCCCAGAGTCTATGTAGATGTAGATGGGGAGGAGGTGGGGAGGGATGGTGGAAGGAAGGAGGAGAGGGCAATGTGGGTAGGTGGAGAAGGGGTGGAGGGAGGAGGGATTAGGGATAGAAGAGGCTGGAGGAAAGAATGGTAGTGTAAAGGATGGTGGGGAGGAGGAAGAGTGAGGGAAGAGGGGGAGGTGGGGGGAGTGAGAGGTTAGAATCTCTTTAAAATACTACCCTATGTATTGTTAGAGTCACCACTATTGTTAACGCCGCCACACACCAAGGCATATAATGTATGTATGTATGTATGTATGTATGTATGTATGTATGTATGTATGGTCACTACAGCGGTTTACCTCATCTATGTATACTGTGGGGTGAATGTGGTGTAGGTTAGGTTTATATTGTATGTAAACTCGATTTGGTTTACAGTTTTATCTCTCTCTCTCTCTTTCTCTCTCTCTCTCTCTCTCTCTCTCTCTCTCTTTCTCTCTTTCTCTCTGTAATGAAATATAGAAAGGTGACGTAGAGAAAGTAACTAGCCTCACTCACGTCACACAAGAGGAAGTGAAAGCCGTGAAGAAAGTAACTAGATCTCTGAGGTCACGGAATAACTTTCTCTCGGGAAAAGAAATTTAAAGTTTTAGTTGGTAAACTTTTATCTGAGAGAGAGAGAGAGAGAGAGAGAGAGAGAGAGAGAGAGAGAGAGAGAGAGAGAGAGAGAGAGAGAGAGAGAGAGAGAGAGAGAGAGAGAGAGAATATATATTGGAATAATTGAATGCCGATCCCTGAGTTCTTTAGTTGGTCGTGGTAACCTTGTGTGTGTGTCTGTCTGTCTGTCTGTCTGCCTGTCTGTCTGTCTGTCCTGTCTGTCTATGTATATGTCTTCATGTGTGTCTGTACGTCTCTTTCTCTGTATGTATGTATGTATGCATGTATGTTGTATGTATGTATGTACAGTAGAGTCCCTCACCTCCCTACAGTTGGGGGTATTCCACTCGTTATTACAGTTGGTCCAGGGCAGAGCGGTGGTGAAGGAGGCGAAGAAGAAGCGGAGACTCCAGGCCAGGATGACGTTGTAGAAGAAGTCCACGTAGAAGGCAATACACACCACCTGGAACCCCACACCTGAAGGAGGGAGGAAGTTAATTAGTGCCTGAAGGAGGGAGAGAGTTAATTAGTGCCTGAAGGAGGGAGTGAGTTTATTAGTGCCTGGAAGAACACACCTGAAGAAGGGAGGGCGTTAATTAGTACCTGAAGGAGGGAGGAGCTAATTAGTGCCTGGAACCCCACACCTGGAGGAGGGAGGAGTTAATTAGTGCCTGGAACCCCTACACCTGAGTGTGAGTGAGCAGCACTAGCAAGTGCCTGGAACAACACACCTGGAAAGGCAGGAAGATCATTAGTACCTTTTACATAGGGGAGACAGGACAGAGAGAAAACGTAGGGATTGGGGAGGAAGTAGGGGGAGGTAGAGGAGTTAGTAGGAAGGGAGGAAGGGACAAGGAGGATGCAGGGAGGGAAGGAAGCAAAGGGAAGCAGAGGAGAAAGGGAATTGGGGAGAAGAAGGGAGTAAGGGAATCAGGAGAGGGGAGGATCAGGAGAGGGAAGGAGTAAGGGTGAAGCAGGAAGGGAGGGGAGGTGCAGAGGGAGGCAGAGGAGAAGGGTGGGGGGAGGGGGGGTGAGGAGAGAGAGAGAGAAAGAAAAGGGGTGAGGCAGAGTCGTGAGACGTGAGCAAAGACTAGTAGGCACGTGGTCCAGCCCAGGACATTGTCTAGTAATGAGGGACCACTATACCTCCCTCCAGACAGACAGACAAACAGAGACAGAGAGACAGAAAAGCATACACACACACACACACACACACACACACACACACACACACACACACACACACACACACACACACACACACACACACACACACACACAAAGAGACAGAGAGGTAGACAGAAATAGCGTGGGAGGCAAATGCAAATTCTCTACAACGTCAGTGTCATAAGTGGCACATCGGAGAAACTGCAGGAAGTACACACACACACACACACACACACACACACACACACACACACACACACACACACACACATCTTGTTGACCCGTGTGTAGCCTCAGAGAAGAGCAGTGTGTGTGGGGCAGAAACCTGGAGAATGTATACTAAATTTATAGAGGAGCCTGCTTATTGTATTACAGAATGACACAGAAATCTACCTATTGTATCGCAGATTTACAGAGAAGACCAAAAAATTAATTAAATTTACACAGAAATCTGGGTGACGTATTCTACAGTTATCCATAAATCTGACTAACAAATTCTACAGTTTGAGAGAAATCTGGGTGACGTATTCTACAGTTATACATAAATCTGACGAACAAATTCTAGTTATAGAGAAACTTGGATGGCGTATTCTACAGCTTCACATAAATCTGACTAACAAATTCTACAGTTGTAGAGAAATCTGGATGACGAATTCTACGTACAGTTGGTGGCACCAAAGTCTCCTAACTGATCCGCCAGAGTTTTATTTCATTTGAGGTAAAAGTTTTGGGTCACCTGAACGAAATTGATTTATCTGAGGCCAATGGCAGGTGAGCAGTAGCCAACCTTTGTTTACTTTTAGTTTCGTTTTATTTCGTTAATTTAGGTATACATTACATACATACATACATACACACATACATACATACATACATACATACATACATACATACATACATACATACATACATACATAAAGTTTTGTTAAAGTTCAAAGGTTCTAAGTTGATATAACATTGATATTGTTTAAGGACCACACACACACACACACACACACACACACACACACACACACACACACACACACACACACATTTAAAAAATCGTCCCTTTATGTAAAATCCACTGAATCTTCCCTAATAAAATCACAAAACACAATACACAAAAAGTATTCGAAACATAATGAAAAAGTATGTAAATAAAAGCAAAAAGTATATACAAAATACACAGGTATAGAAATAATTAATACTAATTCTGCACCAGTAATTTAATGAGATTATTACTTTGTTGGTGTTAAAGTATACAGTATACAATTTGAAAGTATATATATATATATATATACAGTCACTTAAAATTAATAAAATATCTATACTTTGGAGTGGGGGCAGGGAGGTGGGGAGGTGGAGTGGAGGGGGGGAGGGGTGGGTAGGGGGTCGATGATTACTACTACAATAAACACTATGACTTGTTGTCTCTGGTAGGGTCGTCAACTCCTTCTATCCTTTAGTATATGGCCTTTCAACACAAATTTATATACTGTAGATAATTCATTCATTGAGTGACTGTACATTAAAAAAAGTCAAAAATATATAACCAGCAAAGTATTATAATTCTCCGCAGAAACTATTTTAAAAGATACTATTTTTGCTGCTGATCAAAGAAACACTTTTTTTTTTAAGCTGTTCAATTGGGGAGATTCTTAGTTGAATATTTATGGCAAGAACCAAATAAAACTGTTTTGCTTATTCTACATACAGGGAGAGAGAGAGAGAGAGAAACAAGGAAAGTACGAAGACAAAGGAGAGGAGAGAGAGAGAGAGAGAGAGAGAGAGAGAGAGAGAGAGAGACAAAGGAAAAATACGGAAGACAAAAGAAAGCGAGGAGAGAGAAACAAAGGAAAAAGTACGGAAGACAAAAGAAAGTGAGGAGAGAGAGAGAGAGAGAGAGAGAGAGAGAGAGAGAGAGAGAGAGAGAGAGAGAGAGAGAGAGAGAAAAAAACAAGGAAAAATACGGAAGACAAAAAAGAAAGCGAGGAGAGAGAGAGGTAGATTTACGTACCCCGACCTACTTAGGCCCACGGGGCTAAGCCTGGGTGCTAAGTGAATTATGAACGGGTGAGTGCTCAAAGGTTCCTAGCTGGATAATGACCATTTCTTTACAACCTCCGAGTCCAATTTTGATCCCAATGTGGTAAAGATTATTTCCTTCTTATCCCCCTCCCCTGATAAATACCTCCCTTTTTTAGTCTCTCTCTACTCTCTCTCCCTCCCTCCCCTTCCCTCTCTCTCTCTCTCCCTCTCTCCCTCCCTCTCTCTCTCCCTCTCCCTCCTTCCTCTCTCTAATGTATTCCTCTGGCACCTCAGTATGCATATCCCTACTCTCTCCCTTTCTTCCTCCAGGGTGTGAACTCTCCTTCCTCCCTCCTTCTCTCTCACATTCTGCCATATCTCATCTCCTTGCCTCCCTATCTCCCTCCTTCACTCCTTCTGACCCTGAGTCCCTCCCTCCCTCCTTCACTCCTTCTTACCCTGAGTCCCTCCCTCCCTCATTCACTTCTTCTGACCCTGAGTCCCTCCCTCCCTCCTTCACTCCTTCTTACCCTGTGTCTCTCCTTCTCACCCTTCCTCCTTCTCCCCACACCACGCCCTATCCCATCTCCTTACCTCCATAATCTCCCTCCTTCCCTCTTTTTAACCTCCCTCCGTGTCCCTCCTTACCCTCCCTCCCTCCCTCCAGTAAAGGAGTTTCTATCATGTTATTCTTCCATTTCCCCTGAAAGCTGTGACCCCCAGCCCATCCCTGCCCTGCCCTGCCCCCACCCCGCCCCGGCCACCACAAGTGAACACCGCCTCATTTGAATACTCGGCCTGGCTATCTCTCTCACCCACTCTCTCTCTCTCTCTCTCACCTAATCTCTCTCTCACCTAATCTCTCTCTCTGTCTCTTGCCTCCTGCCTGTAGCTCAATTGTCTCTGTAGTGACGGGAAGATGTGTTCTGTAGTAACGGGAGTGATGTGCTCTGTAGTAACGGGAGGATGTGCTCTGTAGTGACGGAGGATGTGCTCTGTAGTAACGGGAGGATTGTGTTCTGTAGTAACGGGAGGATGTGCCTAGTAACGGGAGTGATGCTCTGTAGTGACGGGAGGATGTGCTCTGTAGTGACGGGAAGATGTGTTCTGTAGTAACGGAGGATGTGCTCTGTAGTAACGGGAGGATGTGCTCTGTAGTGACTAGTAACATTGTGTCTGTAGTAACGGGAGGATGTGCTCTGTAGTGACGGGAGGATGTGCCTGTAGTACGGGAGGATGTGCTCTGTAGTGACGGAGGATGTGTTCTGTAGTAACGGAGGATGTGCTCTGTAGTATGTGCTCTGTAGTGACGGGAGGATGTGCTCTGTAGTGACATGTGTTCTGTAGTAACGGGAGGATGTGCTCTAACGGGAGGATGTGCTGTAGTGACGGTATGATGTAGTAACTCTGTAGTAACGGGAGGATGTGCTCTGTAGTTCCACAAAATATCGCACATCACACCCCACCACCGACAGACTTAAACACACCATAACACACCATAATGATCCACACCACACTACCACCACCACACCACAACATTCTACCACCATACCACACTACCTCCACCACACCACACTCCACTACCACCACTATACCAAGTCTCACTACCACAACCATACCACACTACATCCACACCACACCACACTACCTCCACCACACCACACCACACTACCACCACCATAGCACCACCACCACACCCCACCACAGCACACGACAACACACTACCATCATACCACACACTACCACTACCACACACCACACCCACTCCACCACACACCCCCACCACCAACACCATAGCACCACCACCACACCACACCACACCACCATCATACTACACGACTACCACCACACCACACCCACTACCACCACAACATACTACTACCACCATAGTACACTCACACCACAACACACACCACACCACACCATAGCACCACACACCACACCACACCACACCACACCGCACACCACACCGCACACCACACCACACCACACACCACACCACACACCACCACACCACACCACACCACACACCACACCACACACCACACCACACACCACACCACACCACACCACAGCCTCATTATCCCCTCCACTTTGATCGGTGTTAGCTCCTTGAAGACTCGAGTTGGTCGCTGTGGTTGGCTCAACCCTCCAAGACTCCTCCCCTTCCTCAAGTGTCTCTCCTCACCCCCCCTCAGGCCCTCGAGTCTTAGCCTAGAGGGTTTTTCCCATTCTGATTATTGCTCACACACACACACACACACACACACACACACACACACACACACACACACACACACACACACACACACTCTCTGTCTGTTCTTCATAGTGGTGTGTTGGATGACCTGCCAGAGCCTCCTATCCTCCTTCTTCTTCCCTCCCTCCCTAACTCACTCCCTCCTTCCCTTCCTCTCCTCCTTCCCTCCCTCCGTCACGAGACTATATACAGAACGACTTTTCATATCCCTCCTCCTTTTCCTACTCTTCCTCCTCCTCCTGCTGCCCCTTCCTCTTCCTCCCTCCTCCTGCTGCCCCCTTCCTCTTCCTCCCTCCCTTCCTCGCCCTCCTTCCCCTACTTTCCTCCTCCTCCTCTCGCCCCCTCCTCCTTCTCACATCTCGCCCCCTCCCTACGTGGCCCCCATCTCTGCCCTCCCCTTCCTCCTCCTCGCCCCCTCCTCCTCCCTCACTCGCCATTTGTATATTACTTAAAGTTTTTCTCACTGTTAAAACTCATCTGCCTCATCTCACCCTCTCCTCCACCCTGACGAAGATGTGTGTGTGTGTGTGTGTGTGTGTGCGTGTGTGTGTAAGGGGGGTTCAGATGATACACTCTTAGGTTCTGTAACACCAAGGTTCAACTCTGAGGCTACACCGCCATATAAAGTGTCTCGTCCACTGATGTTTGTTGAGGGATCACCTGAAGAATCTCCACCCCAGTTCATTTCACCTTAGCAGTAACTACTCTTATGTTTTCTTAACCTAACCTAACCTAACCTAACCTAACCTATATGTGATTCTACAAGTTGCATCAGAATCTTGGGATCACCTGAAAATTAACCCCCTACCTCTCAATGCATTGCACCTGACGCTACCAGGGATGGGTAGGTTAGATTCATTTAACTTTAACTTGAGTTTATGTTAATTTAGGTTATGCTATGTTAGATTTGGTTAGGTCAATGTTCAGGTGAAATAAAGTTAGGAGGGGGGGGGGTTGATGTTTATGTGATCATATTCTTGGAATGTTACGCGTCAGCAGTTGTAGTGGGAAACACTCACTGAACTGGCCAGAGAACCTGTCACTCTCACTTAACCAGCTGGAGTACTAGACATTGGAGGCTGACAACTCCCAACACGGTGGCCGAGGGTAACACAGCCCGGGTAACGAGGCACAACAGCTGCAATGATTAACAACACTCACCTTTGAAGAGTGGGACGAGGCGGCCCCAGCAGGTGATGGCGCCCTTGCGGTTATACTGTCCGAGGGCTAACTCCATGAAGAAGAGCGGGATGCCCCCCAGTACCAGCATGACGCAGTACGGCAGCAGGAAGGCGCCTGGAGGAGGGAGAGACAGACATACGCATCAGACGTCAGGAGAGGAGGAAGAAGGTCCTTAAAGAAGGTATGTAAGAGCTGTAACATTTTGACCTCTTGAGTGATGATTTAACCCCTTGAGTATGATGATTTAACCCCTTGAGTATGATGATTTAACCCCTTGAGTATGATGATTTAACCCCTTGAGTATGATGATTTTACCCCTTTAAAACAATGTCATCGTAATATCTCTCTATCTCTCATCTCCAACATTCCTAAATCATTTCCACTATCTCTATCTCCCGGTGGCTCTATCTCTCGGCATGCAGGGGTGGGTGGGTGGGTAGGTAGGTGGGTGGGTGGGTAGGTAGGTGGGTAGGTAGGTAGGGGGTAGGAGGGGTAGGTAGGTGGGTAGGTAGGGGGGAGGAGGGGTAGGAGAGATAGGTAGGTATATGTGAGACTATCTCTAGCTGGGCCAAGAGATACCCTAGTAATTAATTCTCCAAATCTTTATTATACTCGCTATATGGACCACGTGGATCAACATTTCATATGGTTTTAATTTTAGCGTTTGAGTGAATTAAACCTTTATATCGTCTCTTTATATATAACAAAATATAATATATAAAGTATGTGATGTAAAGTATAGTTATATTTGTGGTATAATAATTGAAGGGTATGTTTGTGTTGGGTGGGGGTCATAACGCGAATATTATACCCCGGGAAAAAGGTTGTAGAGGGGACTTACGGGGTGCGTGATTGTAGTGCTGTGGATTATATCAGCGAACGAACCTTTACGGAGGAGTTATCGTTCACTCGGTTTGGTTAGTTTCCCTTTCCTTCTCGCTCTCTCTCTTGTCTTTCTTTCTCCTTGTGTCTCTTCCTGTTTCATTCTCTCTCTCTCTCTCTCTTGTCTTACTTTCTCCTTGTATCTCTCCCTGTTGTTTCACTCCTCTCTCTCTCTCTCTCTCTCTTGCCTTTCTTCTCCTTGTGTCTCTCCCTGTTGTTTCATTCTCTCTCTCTCTCTCTGCCTTTCTTTCTCCTTGTGTCTCTCCTGTTGTTTCATTCTCTCTCTCTCTCTTGCCTTTCTTTTCTCCTTTGTGTCTCTCCCTGTTGTTTCATTCTCTCTCTCTCTCTCTCTTTGCCTTTCTTCTCCTTGTGTCTCTCCCTGTTGTTTCATTCTCTCTCTCTCTCTTGCCTTTCTTTCTCCTTGTGTCTCTCCCTTGTTGTTTCATTCTCTCTCTCTCTTGCCTTTCTTTTCTCCTGTGTCTCTCCCTGTTTCATTCTCTCTCTTTAGTAAGCACACCCTCTCTTCCTCTCTTGTGTTTGGGAATATCTGTTGCAATTAAGGCAGTTGGTTAGCCGGGGATTACTGTCTTGCCTGATAGAAGTGAAGGGGGAGGTGGGGGTGGAGGAGGTGGGTGGGGGTAGTGGGGGGAGAGGGGGTGGAGGAGATGGGAGGGGTAGGGGTAGTGGGGGTGGAGGAGGTGGGAGGGGTAGGGGGTAGGGGAGGGGGGTGGAGGAGATGGAGGGGTAGGGGTTAGGGTAGTGGGGGGTGGAGGAGGTGGGAGGGGGTAGGGGTAGTGGGGTGGAGGAGGTGGGAGGGTAGGGGTAGTGGGGAGGGGGTGGAGCAATCACGGGGAAGGGTGTTCAAGGATAAAAAATAAAATGTTCTGCATTGGTGATTTCCTTCAGTTATTTCACGTCTATTTGTGTGTGTGTGTCTGTCTGTCTAATGTCTGTCTGTCTGTCTGTCTGTTCGTCTGTCTAATGTCTGTTCTGTCTGTCTGTCTGTCTGTCTGTCTGTTCAATGTTCCTGTCTGTCTGTCTGTCTGTCTGTCTGTCTGTCTGTCTGTCTGTCTGTCTAATGTCTGTCTGTCTGTCTGTCTGTCTGTCTGTCTGTCTATGAGTCTGAAACAGTTGCTATTCTTAAGCATCGTCTCTCTCTGTGTGTGTCTCTGTCTCCCACATTTATCTCACCTGTCATCTCCCTAATCGTAAATTCAGGTACCTATGCACAGCTGGGTGGACTAAGAGTGCCATGAGATCGAACCAGTGGCTTTTAGGACAGGTGGCAAGTGAGGCATCCACTCAGCCGCCTCACTACAATACCCTGGGCGAGGCTAAGAGGAGATGGCCACTACAGCTGTCAGACGGTAATGGCCCAGTATCCACACCTGGCCATAATGCAGTAGTCTACCTGTGTGGATGTTTGGTACTTTATTACCCAATGCATGAGAGGTGTTTATGTATCCCACCCCGCCTCCCTGCCCCGCCTGCCCCGCCCTGCCCGACCCGACCCGTCCCCACTTCACTCCAGATCCACCCCGCCCCACCCGCATGATTCTTATCACAGGACAAAAAACCTCACGACCACCTCTTCTATCACAGGACGAACAAGAAGCACCTCACTGACCACCTCTTCTTATCACAGGACGAACACCACTTTGTACAACTTCCTCACAAACAAAACTCATCCTTAATTAGTGAAAAAGGGGTCTGTTTTGTGGTGGATCAGAGGGAAGGGGGAGGGAAAGGAGGGAGGGAGGGGGAAAAGGGGAGAGGGAGGGAGGAAAGAGGGTGGGGAGGGAGGGAAGGAAGGAAGAAAGAAGGGAGGGAGGAGAGAGATGGAGGGAAAAAGAAGGAAGGAAACAGGTGGGGAGGTAGTGAAGTAAAAAGGGAGGGAGGGAGGAGGGGAGGAGGAGGGAGGGAGGGAGGAGGGAGAGGGAAGAAAAAGGAGGGAAGAAGGAAGGAGGGAGAGAGAGAGAATATATACCAATTAGCAAAGAACTAAAAAGATCTATATTATACTCCAAAGTGATCAAAAACTCCCTGTTCACTTGTAATGATCAGAGAGAATAGCTGTACCTTGTGTTACCTGTGTGGAATGAGGTGCACAGGGACTTTCTCATCACCTTGGTGCATACAATGATTCTATACATTTTTTACTGAGTGAGATATCCTCCTTCTTTCCTTCTTTCCTTCATTCATTCCTTCTTACCTTCATTCGTTTCTTCTTTCCTTCATATCTTCTTCTTTTCCTCCCCTCCTCCCTCTCTCATTTCCTTTCCTCCCTTTTTCCTTCCTTTCATGCCTCCTTCATTCCTTCCTTCCATCCCCTCCTCTTTCCTTCCTTCCTTCCTCTTCTCTCTCACTCACTCCTTTCTTCCCTCCTTCCATCCATCATTCCCTCTAATCCTCCAGTACCCTTCCTTCACAAAAGATGGAGAGAGAGAGAGAGAAAAGAGAGAGAGAGAGAGAGAGAGAGAGAGAGAGAGAGAGAGAGAGAGAGAGAGGATACAACCCCAGTGATGAATGCCCATGACTGCTATATTAAACTACTACTACTACTACTACTACTACTACTACTACTACTATCACCACTACTACCACCATAACTACTGCTACCACCACCATTACCACCATCAACAACAACAACACTACCACAACCACACTGACTAACGACTTTGTTTGTTTGTTTGTCCTTGTTTGTGTCAGAGTTGCTTGTGTATAATGCCTGAATTTAAATGTTGTTTGTGGCTATTTTTGTTTATACGTGTGTGTGTATGTGTGTGTGTGTGTATGTGTGTGTGTGTGTGTATGTGTATGTGTGTGTCAATATTTTGTTTACCTGGCGCTGATCAAGAGATTATGTCAATTTATACTAATGATAAAAAACAAAATGCCAACTTTTCATGACGTTTATAGTTTATATTCAGTGTGTTGTCTGGTCGAGTTATATCTCACGTAAACTGTCATTAATTAGTCATTTATTTTTTGACAAGGGAATTATTCGTAAATGATAATTGTGTTTTACGTAATTATAAAAAAACTTTAGTACTTATGTAAATTATAGTTGATAATTGTGATTTTTATTTTAGCAGGAGATGAGTGAATGAATGGATGAATGAGAGAGAATTAGAGAGAATAAGAGAGGCAGACAGACAGACTTACAGAAAGACAGACAGACAGACAGATAGACAGACAGATAGACAGAAAGACAGACAGACAGACAGAAAGAAAGACACACAGACAGATAGACAGATAGACACACAGACAGACAGAGAGACAGAAAGACACACACACAGACAGACAGACAGACAGATAGACAGAAAGACAGACAGACAGACAGACTCAACACAACGGTGGGGTGTTTCACTGCCTCTATCAACAAGCCTAAAGGATGTAAATCACGGAGTAAGTGGGAGGAGTGGTGGTCACTTAAGGGCGGTCAGGGGGCGTGTGGGCGGTCAGGGTGGGGTGGGGAGAGTGTGAGCTGTCAAGGTGGCATGTGGATGGACAAGGTGGCGTGTGGGTGGACAGGGTGGGCGTGTGGACTGTCACAGAGGGCGTGTAGGCAGTGGGCGGAGGCGGTCAAGGTGGCGTAGGGTGGACAGGTGGGATGTGGGCGGTCAGGGTGGGCGGTTGGTCAAGGTGGCGTGTGAGTGGACAGGGTGGGCGTGTGGGTAGTCAGGTTGGTGTGGAGACAGGGTGGGCGTGTGGATGGTCAAGGTGGCGCGTGGGCGGTCAGGGTGGGCGTGTGGGCGATAAGAGTGGGTGTGTGAGTGGTCAGGGATGACGTGTAGGCAGTCAGGGTGGGCGTGTGGGCGGCTAGGGTGGGGTGGGCTTTGAGAGTTGGAGTCACTGTAGTGTGGGTGTAAGTCGTAGAGGTGTGGCTGGGTATAGAAATAAGGTGGGCGGTGTATTGCAGATAGATAGATAGATAGATAGACTGATAGATAGATAGATAGATAGACTGTGTTGTGTTCACGGACAGTCATTCATACATTCTCCCACACAATTGATGGTCACATGGGGAGGCGAGGGTGTGGGTAATGTGCTGCTGAGTGGGGGTGGATGTGGGCTGTTATGGGGAAGGTGGGGGTGGGGGGAAGGGTGGGTTAAGGGGGGGTGGTTGGGGAGGAGAGGTGGAGAGGGGGTGGGTGGGAGGTGGGTGGGGAGGGGTGGGGGGTGGGTGGGGATGATTGGGGAGGAGGGGTGGAGAGGGATGGGTGGGGAGG